ATTAAAAAAGCTCATAGCGAAGGGAAGAAATTATGTCATGTCAATTCTCAAATTGCCCCCCTCCAACCATCAAATTGCCCCCCTGTGGGGCATACGCCCCACTTTGGGAAACACTGCACTAAATAGTAAAATGTTTTTCGGTGAGTTATTTCCATGAGATTGGTAGAGATTCAATATTTTTAGTATTCCACTTAAATTGTTTTTTGTTTATAAATGTAACATAGTTCTGAAAAATTCATTCTAAGAATCTTGGTCTCCAATAAATAAATCTTTTTATCACTTTCACTTTTTTCTCTTTATTTTATTTAAGGCTATTATCAAATGTGTGGATGTCACTACCATTTCCGAAGACATGATACATGCTAATGATGTTGCTTCAGTGAAATTGGTTTAGCTGCATGCTGTAAACATACAACAATGAACATGTGAACATTAAATCTGTGGTACGACTTGAAGTCGCACAACAAGAACATATGACATTACAGGACATTCTACATGCTATACGTTGCGTAATTTTGCCTCAATGAAATTCCTCCTTTAGAACTATAAACTTATTTTTTAAAGAATTAGATATAAAAAATAAAGTTAAGAAAATCTTCATGTTTCTATTCAGTTATTCCTGATAAAACAATCAATCAATATTTCTTCAAAAAAATTATTGATATAAAAAGACTAAGGATGTAGAAAAAAAATTATAGAGTATAAAATATACTTAACAGAAGATTATCAAATGTAATTCAAAATTTATTGATTTGATTTACCACATTAATTTATAATTACAGTAGAGCATCGATTATCCGACCCCCGATTAACCTTCACNACCACACGAAAGTGCCAGTGCTGCCAGCTAAAACACACATCAACAAAGAAAGTATTGGAGTAGCTTAAGATATAGCCAAAGATTGCAGCGCCACAGCACTAGTGAAAATTTAAATTTGACGACTGGAATTCTTTCAGATAAACGATGCTCTACTGTAATATCTTCCTTATGCTTAGTTCACATATTATCTGTTCCTAATTTTTGTTTTTTCTAAATGTATAATAATGTCTGTATGTAAAAGTTATTTGAGTAAAAAAACAATGAAGAATTAGAACAAAAAATAGGCACTGGTAAAGTTTAATACAGGAAAGTTATTTAAAGTCAGTTCAAAATATTAATTACTTAATACAGCAATAAATATCTTAATTAGCTACTTAGTATTCAAATGATTAATTTAATGATTATAAAAATAAAAGTTTTTAAATTCAAGTTCACTTAAAAAAATAAGGCATTAATAATTATGAATATAAATATTTGTATATGTTTATAGTTCTTTGAAAACTGAACTTGAGTAATTATTTGAAATTATTTGAAAACTTGAAATTATTTACAAATTATGATTTGCATGATTGTATTATTAGCAACACAAATTGGGTTACATTCTAATGTAATGCAAGTATGATAAAACTGTTCAAAAGTTTATTTGAAAAGAAAGATATAATTTTCTTTTATTAGGTATGGAAGTGGATCAACTGTTTTTGGTTCTGGTGGAAAAATGGTTAATATTGAACAGTGGCGATGCATCAGTACTTTAAGAGGTCACAGTGGAGGTAATTTTATTTCAAATTAACATATATTTTTTTTAATTTGCAAATTAATATTTTATGATTTCATTGAAGTATAAATAATTGATTTTCTCTTTTGATATGAGTATATACATAAATCTACAATGTATATTGTTTATTGCAATAATTAATGATGCTTTGTCCATAGTATTATTATAATACTATATAACAGTATAATTAATATACAGCATTAATAATGTAAATAACTAAGATACAGTACAGCATCAATTATCTGAATTAATTGGGGACTGGGGTTTTACGGATACCGATTATGTATGAAAAAATATGTTAACCTATCCCAGGTTGAAATTCGTTCAGATCCTGGCGTGTTCTTAAGTACCCTCTCATGGTTGTGACAGTGCTGCCAGCTACAACATGCAGATCAATAAAAATAATATTGGAGTAGCCCAAGACATAGCCAAAGATTGCAACACCACAGCACTAGCGGAAATTTAAATTTGCCAACTGGAAAGCTTTTGGTTAATTGACATTTCAGTTTATCGACATTCGGATAATCGGTGCTCTACTGTATTTACATTTCTAATGCAAATAAGCATTAAATCATACTTTAAATATTTTAAAGTAATATTTAAAGGCTGTAGAATTAATAAGAACAAATCAGATTGAAATCAGTAGTTTTAAAGCTATAACATTTTACTACTCAAACAATAATTTTTTACAGCACTTTAAATAGTAAATAATATGTACACTACTCAATTATTGACAGATTATTTTAGTATTTTTTTCAGTAATTGCAAAAAAAGAAATTGCATTGTAGGCAGTTGTCTATATTACTCTGTTTTTTATGTTTGCTTTACATAATATTTATCCATTATTTTTGTTATATGCATAGTTGTAAATTTTGAATTTATAATTAAAACAGAAACCCAATTATATGAGGTAATGTGGACTGATGCTTATCGTAGATAACTATAAAAACTCAGATAAAATGGACTGCCACAGCGATTTTGGATAAAAATTACAGATATAAAAAATATTACTTGGCATCAGTTTTAAGTCTCTTGTTATGCTGTAGTGAATTTAATCATATGTAAAATATTTTTTACACCATTTATTATGCAGTTAATACTTCGAATAGTTGTAAGAATAAAAATATCTTATGCAATTAATTTTAATATGGATAGTTTGTCTCACATTGAAGTTAAGTGATAAAAGATAACAGGAACAAATCATTTTATAATACATGTTATTGTTTAAACTTTCTTTAAAAAGTCCTTTATAGCGGTTCCTTCCTTCTTTTCTGCAACGATCCAGTCACCTTGCCTTCATTTTTCATGGGCTGCTTGTTTATGAATACATGTGTGTATACTTTGTGTGTTCAATCTTTGATTTGAACTTTTTATTTGTAAAATAATAATCATGTTTTGTTTCATAGTTTGATACAGATATTAGTAAAAAAATCTGTAAATTTTTAAATCAGACTTATCGAAGTCAGAAAATTAGTTATTTATATAAAACTTATTGAGTATAATTAACATTTATCAAGTGTGAACAATTAAAAACATCATAAAATCCTTGTTAGTTTTGATGATTTTATTATTGTGATATTTTTATAGTTGTTTTATTAGAATTTAAATAGATTGTCTATTGTAAATAAGATATATTCAAATCAAATCTTTAACTACTTAAATAATTAGAACCAGATTACATTCAAACTATTATAAAACTAATTAGTAAATGATTAAATAATTTAATTTGGCCTAAAGATATGCAGTTAGATCACAATGTTACATTAAATTTAATAATTATAAATTAAATTTGAATTAAATTAATTAATTTAGAATATTCTGAAGGAAAAGAACAATCTAGTGTGAGACTTGAATTAAGTAATCATATACATTAATAAATAATTTAAATTATTGTTTTTATTTGACTATTAATAGAAATATAATTAATGAATTAACATTTTGTATTGAAATTCTTCCACAAAGCTTGTGGAAAAATTATTTTGAGATACTAAAAAAATTTTTCATGAAAATTTAATATCGCATATTATTTTATAGATATACTTGACTTAGCATGGTCACCTCATGATGTATGGCTGTCAACATGTAGTGTAGATAATTCTATTGTGATTTGGAATGCTCTTAAATGGCAAGGTAATTAATTTTAGATCTATTTAAATCATTATTATGTATTGGAAGAAGAATTCAAGGTTTCTTTTACCCTTTTTGCCCTGTAGACACTGAGAGAGTCTTTTTTCATACTCATTGTGGGTTTAGACCAGCCCTCAATGGAGCAGCTGGGTGGGGAGGGCTGGGGCCTTACATATCCAGGATGGACCTGTAAAAATTCTTGGGGTTCTCCATCCGCATTTGATCTGGATTGAATGGTTTATGAAATATACGCCATAAAATTTTACATTTCCATGAATAATTGGAGAACAGATAATTCCACAAACCAAGAAATACTAGAAAATAATAACTGACAAGGAAACAGAATAAAGCAGACAAATTTAGTAGTTGAACTATCACTGGAAATAAGTGACTATACAAAAGGAAATAATTCAAAAATTCTTTTTGGATTTTGGAATATTCAAGGCCTCCAAAGAAAACTATACACAGACATATTTTATAGATACTTAGAATCTAATAAAGTTATTGGTCTGTCTGAAACTTGGTTGATCCAGCTAAAAATAGAAGACAAAGCTTTTTTAGAACAAACCTTTCTAGTATTAGAAAGTAAAGATCAAAGAAATACTAAATTCGGCCTGTCCTCTGGAGGTCTCTTATTGTTAATAAATAAAAATCTAGGTAAATTGAGGTCTTGGGTTGCTGATAATAACTACATTCTAGTTGAATTAGAACTTTGCCAATGTTTAAGTGCACTCTGGGATTAACACATATAGGAATTATACTCTTAGAGCTACCACCAAAATCTGATAAAAAGTGAATCTTAGTAGAAATCCAAAATAAGATAATACAGAGAACTAATATCACAGACTTGTGGATAATTGGTGGCGATGCTAATAGTCGAATAGGAGAAATTATGGATACAAAAACCAAAAATAACAATGGAATTATTGATAATAATAGAACGTCCAAAGATAAAGTAAGTAACTTAGGAGGTAGGACATTACTAGAATTTGTACAAGATAATAGTTTATATATATTAAATGGACGACTGTCTGCGGAATATACCTACCTACCTAATTTAGGTAAATCTATAATTGACTATGTAATTTGTTTGGAATTTGTTCTAAATAAGATTAATGATTTTAGTGTTTTGAATAATGACATTTCAGACCACTTTCCTGTGCAACTAGAACTAATTTGTGTTCCACACAAAAACAGGGAAGAACAAATTAAAAAAAATAGCCAAACCTACTGAAGACAGATAAGAAGAAGTTTTAATTTGAAAAAATTCAAAAATGAATTCAACAATCAATTGATAATGTAACAACTCTTATCAACCCAAACAAGTCTGGTTTGATAAGAGTTGTTACTTATATAAAATTAAAAAACAACGTAGCTTACAATATTTTAGAAAAATGAACACTGAGTCAACATTGAAAGAATATATAAGGAACAAAAAAATATATCAAAATCTAATTAAAGCAAAAAAGAAGAAATATTATTCTGAGATGAGTGACCAATTATTAAAGGCCAAAGATACTAAAAAATTTTGGAATATTATTAAACAAGTCAGAAATAAATTACAAACCCCACAGCCCAAATGTTATGTGACGTATAAAAATTGGTTGCTGTACTTTGAAGAATTTTCCATTATCTATAAAAATAAATATAATGTGCATAAAATACAAAGTTTAACTGTTACGATACAATCAATAATAGAAATATTTATTTAATGTAGAAAATTTACATAGGTGTATCAGAAAAATAAGAGAGAAAACGGCTCCAGGTGCCAACTCCATTACCAACTTGATAATCAAAAACTTCTCGATAGAAGGCATTCATCTATTGGCTAACCTATATAATAATTTCTATAACACGGGTACAATACCTGGAGATTGGAATAGAATCATTTTCCAAATGATATTTAAAAAAGGGGAAAGAAGCTGTCCAGCCAACTAGCGTCCCATTGCTCTTTTGTCTGGGTTTCGCAAACTGTTTACAGCAGTACTAACGGAAAAGTTTAATGAGTGGACTGAATAATAAATTACTTAATTATACACAGTTTGCCTTCACAAAAAAACGGAGATAAGGTAAAAGATGATACTATAAATTTTATTGAGAAACTATTGAACTTATTTTAAAATTAACACTAATTTAAAAAAGTCAAAAACTATATAATTTTTATTGATAATTATAAGTAGATTTCAAATATTTAGTAATAATCCCAAATTTATAATTGACTGACTGAAAATTCTGTTATTATATAAAATTAATTATGCAATCCATCTGTTTAATGTATACAAGTTATCTTTAGTAATATAAACCTTATCTTTTAAAATTCCTGCATTATTGACTGATATTCAAAAATTATTTTATTTAAATATTTTTAATCTATATTTTAGATATTTTAAGTTTGATTTTAGTGAAATATTTACATAATTCAAAATACTTTCAGAAATAATAGCCATTCTAAAAGGGCACACTGGTCTTGTTAAAGGTGTATCTTGGGATCCGGTTGGGAAATATATAGCATCACAGGTAAATATAATTTTTTTAAAAATAAATTGTAAAAGTCTAAAATATCAACTGTTAAAGATAACTTGTCATATGATATCTGTTCAGAATCATCCAAAGGATGTACTTTGTCTTCTTTTCCTCCACTTTTTTGGCTAAACTTCTGCATAGGCCTTCACTTTGCTATATGACTATGTTATCAATAATTGAAATATAATATGATTTTAGTGTATATTTTTTATAACAAAATTAATACAGAAATACTGAAATTTTCAATACAGATTGGTAATAATTAATGTTTGTAAATTTATTGTTGTGAGAGAGAAATTTTTATTGATATAAATATAAATATGTCATTTAAAACTGAAATTATTCTTTGCAGAAATGAAAAATGTTAAATGCATTTTAATATTTTTCATTTTTGTGTGAATGGAATAGTTTCAATATGTAGAGGAGAAGGTGGTATTATGGAATCCCAATTATATTTTAGTGAATTGTAAACAAGGTATCATAACTACACCCACATTTTTTGTGCAAAAAGTACTGGTAACTAGTAAACTAAATATTCCTAATTGGATTTTTTGCTAGTGTAATTATAAGTATGGTTTTTGAAGGCTTTTGTACAAAAAGTCCGAAAGTAGGCTTAGAGAAAATCGGGTGGTAATATGGAACCTTACTGTATATTTTCAAAAAAATGCTTTAATGTAGCCAAAAACAAATAG